GGTCTTGAAGCAGGCTCCTGGGGCTCTTGGGGAGTATTCGGGGCTCATCAAGAACTCCATCACCAACCTGGGGGTTGACTATAATGTGGGCAAGATCAGGGCAGCCAAAGGATGCAGATCGAAAAAGATGGCCAGGTGGAAGGAGAACATGAAGCGCCTCCCCAAAATCTGTCGTCTTCGCGATCGCAAACAAGGCAAGCCCAAACAGGTCAAAATCTACACCTGCGGGGTCAAGCCCTCGATTTGTTATGGTGAGGAAGTTTCAGGACATTCCCCCCAGGAAATAAATAAGCTCAGAGTTCAGACTGCACGGCTTCTCGGCATCTGGTCGCCTGGCTGCGACATCAACATCTGTTGGATCATGAAACCAGATGCCGACCCCATCATCCACGCCAGCGCGATCCTCAAGCGGTACTGCAGGGAGTGGTGGATGACCACCGAGAGTCAGATCAAGGCGCCCGATGCTCTCAGCCCGAAGGATCTTCGCCAGAGCTACGAGTTCTCCCAGAGGTTCTATGAACAAGTACCTCGGGGAAAGAGTTGGGCCTACAAGGTTAGGGGCCCGCTCACGGACTCTCTTTTCTGGGCAGAGCAGGCGGGCTGGATTTCCAAAGGCCCCGCGACGGTCAAGACCAGCAATGAGCTCGAGCTCAAGATCACGGAGTCCTCACCCTCGCTAATTCAGAAGCTGTTCACGGCAGACCTTAGACAGAAGATTTTGGAACGATCGGTTCATAAAAATTACAGTATCCCGAGGGCCCCGAGGAGGAGATCCATCCCAGGGCCAACGGGATCAGGAAGCGAGGTTTGCGGGGTTTCCCTTTCAGCAAGGTCTGGAACAGCAACAAGTGGAGCTACGAATCTAAGAGGTGCTTGAGAAATTTAATAACCAGTACGACTCCCACCAGTCATCTTCTCTGGAAGCGTGGCTTCAAGGTGGAGCCGACCTGCCCGTGCTGCGGCCTGTGCGACACAGTCTTCCATTGGCTATGGCACTGCCCCCACGGGGACTCAGCACGAGGAAATGTTGACCCTGTCATTGTTGAAGCGGCCCGAAACTCAGCTGGCAAGGACCCCCTTTTCACCCAGTTGTGGATCCCCGTGCCCGAAATCAAGACATTTCCTCCTGATGATGATATAGTTGAGTATTGCGACCGGGTCGGCGAAATTGACGAGTTCGATTTCACGTGCCCTACGGAGGTCTTCATCGATGGCAGCTGTCTGGAACCCACGAACCCTTTACTGGCCCGTGCGGGCTGGACTGCTGTTGAAATCACTGCTGGAGGAGATCTTAAACGTGCGGTCCGAGGTCCCCCCCCCAGGAAGTATCCCCAGAATGCGGCCTGGGCTGAACAGCGTGGGCTCCTCCAGGGACTCCGCCACCTGTGGCAAGACCCAGCAAGATTCGATGAAGAGGCAGATATATACGCAGATTGCCAGGCCCTGCTCACAGGATGTGCCTTTTCGTTCAGAGCTCTCGACGGCACCTCCCAGCAGGCTGGCCACTGGCGAGCTATTCAGAGATTGGATAAACAGTTTACCATACATAAAGACAAGGCCCACCAGACGCTCCAGCGCGGAGATCGTGAATGGGCAGAGCAACTACGAGTAATAGGGAATGCGTGGGCTGATATCATGTGTCGTGAGGCCGCCCGTGAATACGCCTCCCCACAGGATGCCGAGGCCTGTAAAGACTCCCTAGACGGTTGGTTTGCAGTCTTCAAAGCAGCAGTGTCGATCTTAGAACTCTGGCCCTCAGCCAGAGAGATGCACGGCACTCTCGAACGTGAGTCCAAGAGTTTAAGGCCACCCCCCCCCCCCCCCGAAATCATAGGCAGCACAATGTTCTGTGGAATGGCCGTCTCTGGCAGTGCCTCTCGTGCGCCAAGAGCTTCTATTCGCCCCCGTCGCGCGAGAATCGACGTGCTGCCTTTCCCCCCACCTTTGGGACCTTGGTGCGTGGATGCGACCTACCTTCTCCAGGTCGCAGGTTGAGGGCGTGCAAGATCGTTGCCTCAGGCATTCCCGTCCTGTACTGCTCGAGGTGCGGGTCGTATTGCACCCGCACGCCCAAGCATCTTTTAGGGCCCTGTAATAAGATTAAGAATGCTCAGGTTCGCTGTTTTCGTCGAGGCACTTTGCCTTGGCCCAAAGGCACTCGCCTGACCCGTCCTTGGAGAGTCCTCCACGGAGCTGCCCAGTGGTGGAAGGGACTTGGGCGGGGAGTCGGGCGGGGCGAGGGCAGTTCTTCCAGCTGTTGGGCCGCCCTCAGCAGCCGCGTCCGAGTCAGTCCAACCTGCAGGCCTGCAGCCAGCTGTACCAAGAGTACAGCAAGGCGCCGCGCCATCTCTCGCGTATGATTTTGTGGAGGAGGAGGAGGCGTCGAGGTTTCTTTTTGGGCCCCAGGCCGTTGGCGCCTCCGCCTCCAGTGGAGCGAGGGCTACTGTGGCCCATGTAGTGGTCAGGGCCCCCTCGCCTCAGAATTCAGGTCAGGTTTCGGATGACTCAGACTAAGTCTTTGTCAGAGGTCAGGCGAGCCCGTTTTTGGCTGACCTCTTAATGCCCATGAATGAATGAATGAGCATGGAGGAAGAGGAGGAGGAGGAGGAGGAGGATCTGGACGCCCGAGATGGGTACGGAAAGAATGGGTACAATGCCCAACAACGAATGTTGTCCCAGACCAACAGCGGCCGCTGTTGGGAAGGCGGCCTTCTGTTTCAAATGGACACAGGCCGCGGCGGCGCGGACAGCGAGTCCTGTTCAGAATGAACCGGAAACGCTGTTGGGCATCGTACCCGTTCTTTCCGTACCCATTCCGTTCGTGCCGAGAGGAGGAGGAGGAGGAGGAACAGTGGAAGCCCAAGATTCATCATCGATGTTGGACTACGCCCTTCCTCCGAGCTCCCTCCTCACAGACCCCTACAGGGGTTCACTTCCACTGAGGGAAGTGCGCCGTTGGGGGACAACCGTGTGAACATCTTGACGCGTGCCAAAACAGCGCTCTCAGAACTTCAACGCTTCGAGGCCACCGGACTGTTGTGTCTTGACGATCCTGAATCGTGCCACAACACCATTCCTGGGACTTTGACACCGCGAAGCAGTACAACTGCAGCGCCCTGACAGTCCTGAACCGTTCCAGAGCATCATTCAGGTAAACAGTATAGTCAGCGAAGCACTTGCCGTCTTTTGTGAAGGATGCACGCGGCGCCAAGGCGTGAGCCACTTCTTGAAAACGCGCCGCGCTCAATCAGCGAAGCTCTTGCGAAGTTTGACAACGAGTGCGCGCGGCGCTTCGGCGGGAGCCACATGTTGAGAACGGGCCGCCTTCAATCCGCGAAGCTCGTGTACTCGTGCAGCTGTTAAATGCGAGTGTGCGCGGAGCTGATGCGAGAGCCACTTTTTGAAAACGAGCTGTCCTCAATCCGTGAAGCTCTTGCACACGTTTAGAACGAATGTGCGCGGCGCCTGAAGCGATAGCCACATCTTGAAAACGACCTGTCCTCAATCCGTGAAGCTCTTGCACATGCTTAAAACGAATGTGCGCGGCGCCTGAAGCGATAGCCACATTTTGAAAACGACGTGTCCTCAATCCGCGAAGCTCTTGCAAAATGTTTGAAACGAATGTGCGCGGCGCCAAGGCGAGCCACATTTTGAAAACGATTCGCCCTCCATCTGTGAAGCTGTTGCCAATGTTTAATACTCAGGCTCATAATTGGTAAGGATGCCTCAGGCGAACCGCTGGGCCTGCCGTTCCGACTGGCCTCGGGGTGCGACAGGGAGGAGTTCTTCCTGAGGGAAAGGAGTGGAGCAGGATTAGGAGCAGGATCGCGGAGCAGAAGGAGGAGGAGAAGGAGGAGGAGGAGGAGCAGGAGGAGGAGGAGGAGGAGCAGGAGCAGTATCGAGGAGGAGGAGGAGGAGCAGGGCAAGGGTCGAGAAGGAGGAGGAGGATGAGGAGGAGGAGGAGGAAGAGGAGGAGGAAGAGGTTGTCCCCGACTCAGCTCGGTCGGCTGCGTCGCAGTCGGCTGCGTCGGTCGGTCTGGCTCGGTGCCGGCTTTCGCGTCGTGGAGCCCTCCACGGCCGGGTCCTGTCTGTCGCTTTCGGTCCCGCTGTCGGTTCGGTCGGACTGCGGTCGGGCAGTCGCTGTGGGCGACTGCGGGGGTAGATGCCTCCGAGAAGATCTCCGAAGGCTTCAAAAAGTATGGACAATTTCGAGAGAATGGGGATGACGAGGTATGCGGTCGGGAATTGTTGGATAGCGTGTCGCTCCGCTGGTTCTGGACCACCACGCTTGGGCGAGACACGCTGTTCACTTCCCGGTTCACAGGAGTCCGCGTCCCAAGCTTCTCCGAGCCTCCTTCCTCGCGGAACGTAGCGTCACGTTGCCCGCTTGCTGGGCATAGCGTGTCGCCGGGGCCGCCGTCGCGACACTTTGAACCAAAGTTCCCGACCGTAAGGAGGATGAGGATGAGGATGAGGATGAGGATGATAATGATGCTGCTGATGATGATGTTGATGATGATGATGATGATGATGACGATCATGATGATGATAATGATGATGATGATGCTGATGATGATGATGCTGCTGATATGATGATGGTGGTGGTGGTGATGATGATGCTGATGATGATGATGCTGATGATGATGATGAGGATGAGGATGAGGACGAGGATGAGGATGAGGATGAGGAGGAGGAGGAGTAGGAGGATGAGGAGGAGGAGGAGGAAGAGGAGGAGAGGGTCGGGCTGGGTTAGGACCAGGGTAAAATCCGTTCCAGAGCGTTCCGGAACGCTCTCAGAGCGTTCTGGAACGCTCCGTGAAGGCCGCGGCGCCCGAGGCATCCTCCAGATTCGCCAGATCTCAGGGATTCTCGATTCATCCTCAACAGATGTTATCCTCGTCCTGGCTTCGTCGTCGAGGGAGCGGGGCGTAGAGGCGGTTTGCGCGACCGTCGCGGCCTCTGCGCCCGCGTCCGTCGTTTCCTTCGGCGTGGGCCGCCAGGACACCGACGAGGAGCTGCAGCCCACCACGTCGCCGACTAGGAACAAGGACAAGGCCCCCTGCCTTGCCCGAGCTCCCTCACAGTGGTCCTCCTCCTCCTCCTCCTCCTCCTTCTCCCGCTTCTCCTCCTTAAACAAAACAAAACAGGGACGCTCGCTCCTTCTCCTCCTCCTCCTCCTCCTCCTCCTGCCTCCTCCCCCTCCCCCCGACGTCATGATTTATCACAGCCTTCCTGTGGCGTTGGGTCCTCGTTTTGAATACGCATCGCCCCACGACTCCTTTCTCCTCCTCTCCTCTCCTCCTCGCTCCTCCCTCATCCCCGTTCGTGCCTCTGCCCTCCACGTGTCTCTGTTCCAGCACACACCCACACGCACGCACATCTTACGCGTCTCGTGGCCCCGTAGGGAGTTCCACCGAAGGATCTTGTGGCAGCGTTCGGATTAGTCGCCGCTTTAAATATCGGCACACCCCTCAAACGTTGCGTGGCTCCATAGGGAGCTCCACCGAAGGCTGTTGTGGCAGCGTTCGCATGCGTCTCCGCCGCACATTGTGGCACCTGCCTCATACGATTTGTGGCCCCAGCCGCAGATTTCGGCACACCCCTCACACGTTTTGCTTCCCCATAGGGAGCTGCACCGAAGGCGCTTGTGGCAGCGTTCGCTTGTGTCCCGCAACGCATGTCGGCACACGCCTCACACGTGCCGTGGCCACATGTGAGCTCCACCGAAGGCTCCTGAGGCAGCGCCCGCATGCGCCCCCCCAGCCAGTATTTCGGCACACGCCTCACACGTTTCGTGGCCCCACAGGGGGCTCCACCAACGTCTTCTGTGGCAGCGTTCGCATATGCCCCCCAGCCCATTTCGGCACACCCCTCACACGCTTCGTGGCCGCATAGGGAGCACCGACGGCTCCTAAGGCAGGGTCCGCACGCGTCCCCCAGCCCGTTTCGGCACGCCCCTCATGTTTTCTGGCCCCCATCCGCACGCCCCGCACCCCGTCCTTCCCGTGGCGCGCTAACCTGCGAGTCGGGCCTCGTGCGCTGCGTGATTCGCATCTGCAAATGGTTGGGTCTTTCGCCCGGCGAATTTTCTCATCGTCGACCCCCAGAGGTCTCGGCGTACAGTCGGGGCCTTGAAGAAGGAACCCTTTTCGTTGGGGAGGGGCTCCGCGTTCCTTAAGTGTTTCACAGCTTGCCTCAGGCTTTCCTTATGTTTTCGATCGGAAATCGAAGTTTAACTTGTGGAAAAAAGGGGCCTCGTTCCTTATTTTGGGTTCCTTAGGTCAACGCCCCGACTGTATGGTTGGGTCTTTCGCCAGGCGACTTTCTCATCGTCGACCCCCAGAGGTCTCGACGTGCTCCCCAGGACCCCGCTTCTCGTCCCGAGGTTGGATCTCTGACGGCCGCGGGGCCCGGCGAGGGCCCCCCCCCCGGAGGCCGACCATAGCCCAGAAGCTCCGCGTAGGTAGCCCCCGGCAGGACGCCCGGGCGAGGCTCGTGGACCAGGGACTGGGAGGAGCATGCCGTGGAGCACAACGGGTTCGGGACGGCGTCGTACCCCAGGAGAGGGAGGGTGGAGGAGGCCTCGGAGGAAGAAGAGTGGGGAGAGGTGGAGGGGGATGATGAATGAGGGAGAAGGAGGAATCGAGTACGAGGAGGAGGAGGAGGTGGAGGAGGTGGAGGAGGTGGAGGAGGAGGAGGAGGAGGAGCAGAAGGGCCATGGGCCTCTTAGATGCCCTTCGGAGCCTTCCTGAATGTCTCTTGAGAGTGTCTTGGAGTCCTCTTGGGGCTTCTCGGGGGCCTCTTTGTGGGCTCGGGGGTCTCTTGGAGCGTCTTGGCTGCCTCAGGGTAGCCTCTTGGGACCTCTTCTTGGGGGTCTTTCGAGAGCCTCTTGGGGACCTCTTTGGGGCTTCCCGGGGCCTCCTGGACACCTCTTGGGGCCCTCTCGGGGCACCCATGGGAGCCTCGGGGGCCATCTTGGGGCCATCTCGGAGGACGATCGAAGAAGAGGGAGGGGGTAGTATATCAGAGCCCCCCCCCCCCCACAGGGAGGCCCACATGGGCCCAGAACCCCAGTAAGATCACATGCCACCGCCCAGCCGGTGGAGAGGCCCTTCCTCGACGGCGTCGGCGCTGCTCTGTGCTCCCTACAGTCAATCGGCGGCGAGCGAGGGGGGGAAGTGAGAAGGAGAAGGCCTTCTCAGACGGCTCGGAAGTCCCCCGGCCTTTGAGAAGTTTTCTAAGCCTTCCCCAAAGACGGGCGTGTCTCTCTACAGAAGGAAGACGGGCGTGTCTCTCTACAGGAGGAATCTTCAACACTTGACAACAAAATAGCCAGGGGACGATTGGTTTGACTAGTTTTGACTATTTTGGGATATTTGTTGCTCAACTTTTTATTTTTCGTCCAAAATCCGCCTGTAGGGGGGCATGCTCGACCCAAGCCTAGTAAGACCGCGCGCCTTCATCTAGGGTATTGTTGTGTCCTTGCCTCCGCGGCCCGTCCTTTGCCGTCTCCACAAGTCGCCCGCCGCCCACCGAAGCCCAACTACGGCCTCCAAGGGTCCTGCGTCCTTGTACCGCACCCGTCCTTCCTACGCGTCTTGGCTGCACCCGCTGCCGGGGGCGGCTGCGCGCCCAGCGTGACACGGAGAAGAGCTGGACGGGGCCAGGACGAGGACACCCAGACCCTCTCGCCTGGCATCGCTCGGACGTGTGCGTTTTTTCCTCGGCGAGGACCATCGAGGAGCATCCTTGATCATTTGCCGAAAAAACCACGCACGAAACCGATTAAAACACAGGAAATGGACGTCCGAGCGATGGCGAGCTCGAGCCATGCAGAACTTACGCCGGGAGTCTTTGTTGCTGTTTTTTCGGCCTCCGGGGAGGCCCTTGCCGGGCCTGGGCACCGTCAGCAAACAGACTCGCGGGATGAAAAGCAAGTCCCGGGGGAGGGGTCGAGACCTCCGGGGTCGACGTTGTGATAAAAAAAAAGTCATGACGTCGGGGGTCTGGGGATAGGTCCGTCCCGG